CAATGAATCAGGGGGAACCAAGAGTGATCATGTTATCATTACCAGAAGTCACAGTACATGCCTAAAAGATGCTAGGATTCATAGAAGTGCTGAATGAGGCAGCGATCATGAGTTAGTGATGGCTAAACTTAAGCTTTAATCCCTACTTAGCAGCCAAAAGGCTATCGCAAAGTCTGAAGTCGACAAGCTTAAATGTCTACAAATACCCCAACAATATCAGGTCACGTTCAGTGGAAGATGCAGACTACTTACTGATTACACAGGCGTTATATCAGTGGAGACAGCTAGGAAAATACACAAAAAATCAGTACTAAACAGTACAGAGGATCGATTCGGAAGGAAGAAAAGACGAAGGAAACAGTGGATAAATTTGGAAATCGAACGTCTGCATGAAAAAAGGAGGATCGGTAACGACGGTGACGGTCAAAATCTCAGTAGAGGTATAGAAAGATAATAAAAATTCATTAAGGAAAAAAACTTTTATGAAAAAGACAGGCTGAAACAACGGAAAATGTGATTCGACAAAACGGCATGAAAACCTTATTTAGGAAAGGTCACTGCTACTACGAACAAAAAAGAATCGATGAACAACCGTTACAAATAAGAAAATAACATCGTCCTATTTCACTGAAGTCCTATATATGGGACAACATTTTGAATCGCTATTCAACCCTTTTGTGACTGTGAAACAAGACACACTGTATGAAACCACATCTGTGCAAAATATGAACATCGAATCTCGCACGCTTACCCTTGAAGAAGTGAAGAAGCTTTAAACCAACTGAAAAATGACACAGCTGCAGGAATAGATCAAATACAGCCAGAAATAATTAATGATTCACAGTTAAATAAAGTGCTGGCATTAGTCCATCCCTTCGAATTGATGACAGAAAAATATCTCCAATGATTGTCTGAGAGATATTATGGTTCCAATATTTAAGAAATTCTACAGCAGAAGTCCAAAAAAGCCTTGGAATAAGCTTATTATCCGTTCCATATCAAATGTCCATGCGTGTTATAGCGACCATGAATAGTAGTTGCTGTTTCTTGAACCATTGCTTTGAGCCGTGAGCGGTCCAGGGCCGCTGCTGTCTGAAATTGAAAAGTCACAAGAACGATGGTTTAGGCCGGTTTTGTGACTGCATCCAGAAAGGAAGGCTAAGCAACTGTTTCTTGCGAAACCGACCGGCAGAAGGCCCAGGGGACGGCCAAGAATAACCTAGTGCAAATATATGGAAGGAGTGTGTTCCAGACTCAAGTTGTCTTCTGCCGAAGCTCAGACTCTGGCAGAGAATCGGGAATGTTGGAAACTCTGACTGACGCGTCTGCCTTCGAGACCTGAAAAGAGAAGCGGCCATGGAATACTAGATGAAGAAAGCAGATCTGCCTCCCCTCTGTTCCTCTATGTGTACTGATCTTGTGGTCGACTTCAGTGTTCAGTGCAGTGTTTCGGATTCCACAGGAAAAGTTCACGGGATGAAGTAATTTGTGCATGCAAGCCTTCCTTCACATCTACAAAGGATGCTTGTGCCCAGAAGACAATGGAGTCCTTCGTTACATGGCCCTGCCATTTAACCCTCATTATGCGTAGAAACCGACGCTGCTGTACGCAGTTTGATCGTTGTTTTTGCTCCTTCGTTAGAACAATTGCATCCATATCGTATAACAACAAGAGTTGAAAGAGCTAAGGAACGGGTTCATTTACGTGGGAACAGCTACTCCCTTCTCAGACCAAATATAAGGCAGGTTTCTAAATGCACTTCAGGCCAAGCCGATTGTCCCATTTAACTTTGGCTCAATAGTAGCATTGCTGGAGATGACGGAACTGATACGTTTAAACTGATCAACCGCCTGAGGGGCTTCACTTTCCTCGTTCTACTAGTAGATCAGCGGTGAAGAATGGGTTCCTCCATAATGTTGATTTCCGGGGATTATGGAACAGGCTAGCTTTGGCAGCTGCACTGCAAACGGAAGCAGTCAGGAGACAGATCCCGCTTCCCATACCACTCACTTGGAGAATATCATATGCAACACCGGGTCAGGGAGATTTCCACCGGGATATCTTGAACTGAAACCCGGATAGCTTCTTCACTCAAAAAAGAGACCTTCATTTTTACCAGAATTAGCGCCGTTTTGGAGAAAACATCGAGAACAGTGTTGAACAGCAAAGGCGAACTCCACAGTTAATTGACAACCATTCAGAGATGCCTCCTTCAACTTTCGCAGCAGGCAGTGTTCTCGCATACATCTCATCCAAAATAGAAACAATGTGCTCAAGAATTCCATACAGTTTCAAGAATTTGCACATCATCCAATGATTTAGAGAATAATATGCAGCGTTAAAGTTGAAGAAACTGACAAACCAAGGCATTTTGAATTATCGGCGCTGCTCAAAGACCTTATCATAGGGAAATTTTTGTCGACGTACGAATGCCTTATCCGGAAGCTTGTTTTGTTTGAGCGAAGTCTCCATCAATTGCCTGCCTCAATCTTTCCAATGTAAAACGGGAGAACATTTTCCGGTAGTTTTCAGCAGAGTGATACTATGATAGTTGGAACACTCAGTCTTTCTATAAATGTAGGCACATTCATTCCGCACTTCCAGTTTCGTGGGCAACATTTGGAGGTCCACAAGATGAGATAGGCTATAAAGATTTTCAACTATTCCAGTTACTTCATATTTAATTTACTCTGAAGGAATTTGATTCACCTCGCAGGTCTTTTTTCCATGGAGGCTTGTTTGGATTTCTAATTTTGTTGGTGGAACTGATGACGTCCAGATGATTAGGCTTTAACCTGACGACATGGATACTACACGGCTAATTTTGGAGGAATTTCTGCTACGATCGTATGGTGATCAGATCCAATGCAGGTGCCACGCCTGACACGAGTTTCGAGTAACTTGCTGCGCCACTGACGGTTGATGAGGACGATGACCAACTGGATCAACAGTCTTCCAACGGGGAACGTCCATGTGGTTGGTGAATAAGCTTATGAGAAAAAATGGTTCTACCGATGATTAAGATGTCTGTCGCACGAAAAGCTTTGCTGAGGCGCCCGCAGTTGTAATTTGCGCTGTTAATACTGTAATGACCGATTATGCCTGGCCACGTACTGTTCTCGGCGTCCACCTTCGCGTTTAGCTTGTGAAGTTGAGAAGTGTTGTATGTTGCCATTAGCAGGTGAGCAACAAATTATTCAAGGTCTAGAAGGACAAGGATGTCTGCAACAGGACGAAGGATCAGATATACAGAGCTTCGGAAAGTAAACTATTCTCCTGAATATCTTGCTACATGACTTGGAGACGGTAGAGCTTAACAAAGCTAGAAACACAATACCGATACGCAGAGACAAAGAAAAACGTAGTTCTAAGAAGAAAATTAGGAGTTATGTGTCAGGATCAGTTGTAAAAGGAGAGACTAGAAT